TTCAAAACCCGTCTGGATGTGATCCTGGGAAACATGCTCTAGAGGACCCTGCTTGAGCAGGGAGGTTGGACTAGATGATCTCTAGAGGTCCCTTCCAACCTCAACCATTCTGTGATTCTGTGATTAAATCAGACACAGTTTTTAAATTTGCAGCCCTGTCTGGGAGTGGTAAGGCATATGCTGAGCTCTGATGAATACCCAGGTTCCTCTCAGAGGACAAATCACCCTTTGATGTGATTTGATAACCCAGTTGTGTAAGAGAGCAAACCAAAACCATGCCCTGGGGTGTTGGTCAGTGTATTTGCAATAGGAAGAGTGACCAGTGTTGCTCAGACTGGCCCACTGAGATCAGGATTCATTTGAGGATTGAAGCAAAAGAATTCTAAGACAGCTACCACACTGAGCTCTTCTGCTGCAGGTTGGCAGGTAGCGCCAATGACCAAGTACAAGTGTGTTTCACCACTCTCCTTTCAGAGAATGACTTGTGACTTCTGTCAGTTTATGCTGAAGCAGTTTAAGCATTGATCCATCTGTTCATCTTGTCTCTCTGCTGAGCGATACTATCCCCATGGTAGAATCAGCAGAACAGGCTGCATATCTGCTCATCTCAATTCTTCTGAAGGCCAGGAGTATTAAATTGATGATAGCTGCAACTATTAGGTTGGGTTGGGAACAGTGATAATTTAGTCAAGGGCCGTAGTCTCCAGAATTGGCTGGAAGCAAAAGCTGTGTAAATCACCTCAGCATGATCTTTAGTGTCTCTAATATGAACTATGTGGGCTGTAGCCTTAGGACCTGTTGCAGGACTTCCTTAAAGTGTTGTGCAGGTGTAGATACCAGGGCACATATGTCATTGCAATATATGATGGGTGCGGTTAAAATGTCTATAGTACTGCTAGCTGAAGAGAGATAATGGGTGCTGTACTGCTTCTACTTTGAACAGTCTCTTAGCCCCTTTTCAGAGGAACTGAGAGAGGAAAACCACCTTTTATTATGGGTTACTTTGTGCTCCTGTACTCACATGGGAGCCGATGCTTTAGCATGGATATCTACTTCCTCGTCAAGGCTGGTGCTTGAAAGATATCAGAAAATATCTGTTGGGAGCTTAAGTACTTTTTTGGTGGTGCTCACTTGTATTTCTCTTGCTCAACTACATTGCTCAAAAGGAATGGAAGGAGATAGATATGAGTCTTCCTGCTAATGTTTACCCCATCATGTTCATCTCTGACTAATTAGCAAGAACGCCCTTGGAAACAGCACTAGTTATTTGAGAAACTAATATTTTGAAATGCTGAGAGGAAATGATTCACAACAGCCTTCCACCAGTGTTAGTCTAGGTATGGGCACCACCAGTGAACTGTGGATCATTGCTTGAAACTGTCACTGCTTCTGCTGAGAATGCCTGTTTTTGAGACTGAAGTGATGGCTGGGGAAAATCCAGATCTGTTGCGAAGTGCTGTGAACCAGTTACCCAGGTTACAGAATCACAGAGAATCCCAGAATGGCCAAGGTTGGACAGGACCTCTGGAGATCATCTAGTCCAACCCCCCTGCTCAAGCAGGGTCATCTAGAGCACATTGTCCTTGATGTGAGTGCCATAAAATGAGTCCAGCTGAGTCCAGCTTACCTAGTCACAGGATCTGGATCCCTTGACTGTCTCACAGTCGATCTTCCCTGCAGCTTTTGTGGTTACTCATCAAGCTCGGGCTGTGAATGGCAGGGTGTACATATGCACTGGAGGAGGCATTTCCCAAATTCCAGGGAAGAGGCAGGACTAGATGAGCTGGATGTAGTCCATGGGTGTTTGGGGTCCACAAGTCCAGCGTGAGTCCACTAAGTTACCAGCTGACCCATGCTGAGCTATAGGATGAGATCAAAACATTCATCTTTTTCCCTTCTGTATTTGCATGTTCTGTCATATGTGTGTGTGGCTATGTGCCAGATGTAAGCACTTGTAGTCAAAGCAGTTCATGATGTTCTTGTTTTTTCAATTTTCCTAGGGACATCGGAGGAAAAACTGGAAAGTGAGAAAGTTTGTTTTAAGAGAGGACCCTGCATATCTTCACTACTACGATCCTGCTGGAGTAAGAAACATTTGGTCAACTTTTGTTTTCTCTCTTATTTTTTATAAAGCCTTCTTCCTGTAGAAATGTCTGAATGGAGTATTTGCTTGAGAATGATGGGAAAGGACAAGTGGGACTATTTGTGCTCACATTGCCTGGCAGCTCTCTGGAAAAATGGAGGGAAGGATGGTTTCTGGGGCTGCCAAGTCAGTGTGGGAAGTGCCATTTAGAGCTGGGAAACAGGCAGTGCTCTCACCTCTTCTTTGTGATTAATTAAAATAAAGGTGTACTCTCATTTGATTAAAATTAACAAGGTTAGAAGAGCAAATTAAAACAATGTAGTCATTTTGCAGTTTGTGACTGAAGTATTTTCTATGTCAGGCTGAGTCATGGTGTTCCATTTCTTGTGTTATTAAAATGGGCCAAACTCTGCCCTGAAAAATTCATTGCGATGAGCAAAGCCTGCCCCACAAAAGCTGGCATTCAGACAGACTCAGCCCACAGGGTTTAGTTTGACTTGCACGGCTGCAGGAGCGGTGCCGTTGTGTTGCGAGTTAGCGGTGCCTTAGGCCTTTCCTGTCCCACTTGGCAGAGGCAGCCTAGACACACTGGAGAATCAACACTGAGGACTTTGACCTCTCTATTTCTAGCTTGGGTCTCCCACTCCGGGCTTCCCCTATTAAAGGGCTGAGGTGTGTCAGTGCACAGAGACTGCTAGCTTCAGGCTTATGCCAGCAAAAATGCTTTTTCACTTGTTCTTTGGTTGTCACAGTCCTGAAGTGCACAAGAAGGCCAAAATATTCCACAGACCCTGAATTGTAACAGAGATTCTCTATTCACATGCAGGTCTTCCCCGCACCCCCACCCCATGTCCCGCACTGTCTGAGGATCCCCTGTTTTTCAGAGATGACATGTTTAGTTGTCAAATATTCTTGTTTCCATTGCAGTTGTAGTCAGATGTTGATATGTGATCAGTTTTGGAAATGTTATATTTAATTTTGATTTCCTGCCCCTACTAGGGAGAAGATCCACTAGGAGCAATTCACTTGCGTGGTTGCGTGGTCACAGCAGTGGAAGATATGCCAGACTGTAAGGAACCATGTTCAGAGTTGTGTGATATTTTTTTAGTGCATTCTTTCTGCCTGTGAAAGTGGTTTGAGTCAGAAGCAATCTATTTGCAATGATTCAATAATTCTTCTAGTAACTAGGCTCTCTACTACTGCTTTAATTACTGGAGAAGGATACTGTGAGAAAGACAACAGGGAATGTTGTGTTTGTCAGTTCTTTAGAGCAGACTTGCCAAAAGGATGACATGTCCTTTCTATGTTACGATAACTGGCCTTAGACCAAATAAGCTGAGTTTGCTCTTTTCAGTTCATGAATTTGGGAAAGATGTTTTAGGTTAGAAATGGTTATGCCAATGAGTTGCTACTCTATACGTTCTATCCCCTGCTAAAACTATCCTTTTTGGGAACAGCAATGCTTAACCATTGCTGTAAGGAATAAGAACATCCATTTAATGCATTTTCCTCTCTATGAGAGAGGCAGACCGTCATACCTAGCAAGTCTGGCATCTCAATACCTGTATAGGCTGTGTGGCCAGGTGTGAAAAGAGGCAGATAATTCAATGTAAAGTGAGCTTAAATGTCTTCTCTGTATAGCTTGCAAGGCACTGCTGGGTTTGAGGAATATGACCTGTCTGCAGGGCTGCAGATCCTTCCATGACTGGGAATTAGTTGAACAGAGCCTCCTGAAAGTGGAATGTGCAGAATTAATATTATTTTTCTCCAAGAGAGACAGATCTCATGGGCTTGATGTTGCATGCTGTTTGCAAAGGCATGATCAGGCACAGCTGTAGAAAGGCAGGAAATCCCTTTATGGCAAGATAGAAACGTAAATACAAGACTTCATTCTCTCTTAACTGACTTCCTTATTTCTTCCCTGTAGCCAAGAAGTATGATGTTGACAATAACCTGTTTGAAATCATCACAGCAAATGAAATCCACTATTACTTGCAAGCAGCCTCATCTGCAGAGCGTACAGAGTGGATCAAAGCAATTCAGGCAGTTGCTAGGACTGGGAAATGAAGATGATATGCCAGCAAAAGGATAGACAACTCAAATCCATCACTCTGAGTAAAACAGGAATTTTAGCATTTCATTGAAAGAAAGTAATATCATCCAGAAAGGCTTCCTAAAGCGTGTGGGTTGAGGGGGGTACATTTCACTTCTATAAAACTAACATACTTGCTACTTTTTAATGGGAATATGTTGCTAAATTGTGGCATAGAATGTGCCTTATTAGTGTGTGCTTCTTTATAATAATTAGACTACCCTGGGAAGCCTACCTTATGCCTCTCCCTGTTCCCACTGCTGATAGTGAGAATTTCACCATTAACGGGACATAATCATGTCACTGATTGTAAGAGACTGAACTAATCACCTGCCATTCAGCCTATATTGTGTTTCAGTGTCTTAAGGTTAATTCAAAGACTTCCCAAGACAAAGACCTCACACTTTCTTCATTAGCCAGTTATCTCTCTACTGTCATTTTCACCTAGACAAGTAATGCTATAGATTAAAGGGAAGAAATGAATCCATTTGGAAATCTGATCCACTCCTTTATAATGGCACTTCAGTGTTAAGGAAAGGAAGAACTCTGTCAACTACAGAAACACTGTGCTCAAAGCAAGTACAACTTAGTGAGAGCAGTATGAATTTCCACATAGCACTCTCCACCTATGGTACTCAAAGCATGAAGCAATCTCAGTACATCTTCTGGATCCACCAGATTTTGACCTTTGCTAAATTTTTCTACACAAATCTGTGCTGGCACCATTGTTTCACTTAATTTGTGTCTCCAAATCAGTTGCTAAGGTGTCATGTATTCTGACTTGATCCATATGTGCATTAAGAATCTTGCAGGAGAAGGGCAAGGATCCATGGATTAACTGAGCTACTGAATGGGTTTTTTTTAATTTTTTTTTTTCCTACAGCAACATACACAATGCTTGGTTCTGTGCCTTAATTATATAAGAGAAACCGTGTGCTTTTTATAACTGGAATAAACATTATCACTTGACAGGGTGAGTTTACCTGATCAATCCTAAATTTTTTGTCTGACTGTATGTATCAAACTTCAAAGGCTTTAAGCTTTAAGCAAGAGTTGAAAATGAAAGTAGTGTCAAATTCTGTGTTAGCCCACACCTGCTGCAGACTAATGTTTCTTATTGTAAATACACTTCAAAACTTTTAAAATTTGGTTCTTAGATCTAATAAGGTACCTTATCCTTAAGAATTCTTATTCAGATCGGTCTAAAAATAAACCTGGAGCTAAAGCTTTTGTTCACTTCTGCATCACTATATCTCTATCCAGAAACTGCATGTACATCACAAGAATAGCAGAAGACAATGAGACAGTACTGCTACTTCGGTCTAGGTCATTCTCCGTGGTGTTCAGGGAACACCTCCTACTGATTCATCAAACCTGTCCTGTCATGTGAAACCTTTTTGGTTACTTTGGTAATTGAACTGTATGAATAACTTCCCCAGTAAATGGACTGTGCCTTGGTCTGCTGCACCATCCTGGTGATACAAGCCTGCCAGGGCTTCAGCTGAGTTTCAACATGAAAATGTAATTTGAGTGATCCACTGCATGCATTTGGGTTGATAAGGTTATCAGCACAACAAAGAGAGCTAGAAATACATGCTAGATCCATCTGTGGGCTTATTGCCTATGAGGAACCCAAAATAAAACTTTTTTTTTTTTTTCCACTGGGAGGAAAAAGGAAATGGATTTGCCATTTCGAGTTCATAGACCCAGCAAAAAGTTCATATAGAACAGATCTGAGCTGACGTGCCTGAAGGTCTTTTGCCTAACACCCTCTAGCAATATTACCATAATATAGCCGCTCTGCTGTCTTGCCTAGGGAGCTCCCAGCAAGTGTATTCATGTCACAGTGATGTAATTTCACTTTGGTCCCAAATACCTGCCCGTGAACAGGCAGGCTTGTTCTGCACCCCCACGCAGAGCCCCATGGACTTTGGTGAGTCTCTTGGGCCTTAAACTAGCATCACAGCACAGTTGCCCTTTGTACTGTTTCTACCTCACCTGCATCCCTAATTACTTTGTTTATGGAGATTATAGACAATTTGGAATCTACTTTTTTTTTTCCACCCAAAATACCTGCTTGGTGTTTCAGGCCTTGACATATTTATGACCTCAGTAGTGGAGCACAGTGAATATTGGCCATCTGATTACCCCAGCAGTGTGTCTGTTATTCTAAATGAAACATGATTTTTGGTGAAGAAACATGGCATTCTTGTCCCTAGAGCTGAATCTGGGAAGGTCTCTTTAAGTGTGGTAGCCTGCCACATTCATGAACTAGTTCAGGTAAAGGTGTATAGTCTTGTTCTTTAATAGGTTGCGTTTCATCCTGGAAATAACACAGGAAACACAACTGTGCAGAGGCAGCAAGCTGGCAGAGATATAACTATTCATCGTCATGTGCTTTTAAGATATTCCGAGGAAATCAGCTTCTAACAGGCATTTCCTGTACCTCACAGAAGCTGACAGGATCACTGAAGCCCAGTCTGTCACTCTGAGAAAGGAAGCCTCAGGGCAAAGAGATACTCTGTTTGCACAGCCCTGTTTTCTTGATAATTGTTTTGTGGTGGTTGTTCATTTTTGCTTCAGAGCTCACTAACTGAAAAATATTCTATAGCACAGGAAAATGAAAAAAAAAAAAACAGAAACTCACCCCAGCTTAGCAAAGGGGGGAAGCAACTGCCAGTTTTTTAGTAAAACTAATTATTTGTCTCTGTCTTTGACCTTGTCATTTTTCCCTGGACCCGGTCGGGGTACAGCTATCCACATATGAATAGTATTTTATCTGGTAGGTGATGGGAGTCAGTATATTTGTGGAGAAGCTCTGTTGCTTGTACCAGATTATATGAGTATGATCTCTAACCTCATAGATGGTTCTTTTGAAGGTCTATCACAAGGGTTTGTAGGTATCTCTCTGCTTCCTGGCTGAAAGAGGATGAATGGAAGTGTATGTCTGCTGCCATCTTACCCACATTTCCTGCCATAAATACTCTTACTCAGCTTGAGACTGGTACTGGAAGTGACTCCAAACTACTCTGCCTTTCAGTCAGGATATCACACATTTTGCAGCATCAACAGAGTAATTTCATATTATTTCTAGCTCCCGATTCCAAGGTGAATATGATCTGGTCTATTTTCAGAACAGGACTGACAAGAAAAACATGAATTTCTGCAGGGCCCAGCCTTTCTCTTTTTAGGATGAGGGATCATACTGAAGAGTAGACCTCTCTCTCTGATAAGCTCTTCAGGAGGGATGAATTGAGGACCAGTGTTACTATAGGGTTTTTTGAAACTCACTCTCCTTTTTCTGTGCATTTATATCTAAAAAGGTGTCTAAATGCCACCAGCGGTCCGCCCTTAAGAATCATGCGTGAGACACTGGAATTGAGTCGGGAAAGTCATTCAGAAGAAAGCAACTGGAGTTGAGGCAGGGTGATGAGGGCTACCGTAGTAGACCTCTATCTATGACAAAACAGAGGGCTAGTTTTACTTCAGTACACTACCAACTTCAGTACAGATACCAAATATATTTTGACCGAGGGAAACAGAACTACAAGGGTACTATAGATTCTGAAGCCAGTCTAGTTGTTCAGCAAGTACGCAAGAGAAGTGTCATGTATACTGAATACTAGAACAAAAGAAGAGATAGTAGGCATGGTACAAAGAACTATTGAGATAGAAAAATAGAAGTGCAGACCCTTGTATACCATGCTTCTTCCATTTGTTTTCAACCTCTTACTGTTTAAATCACACTTTTCCTACACACCCAGCAAACACCAAATCAATATTGGTTCCTTTTTCACTTCCAACATGACTTAATCTTTTGTCTTAGACTAAGGGACAGTAAATGAAAACACTGAGGATGAGAACTATATTTATACCTTACAATTATTGTATGTTATCATCTACTATAAAGATCCTCTTACATCCCTATTTTACTAGCCACATCTTAAATTCAGCAGTTTTCTCTCCCCCAAAATACTGACAGTGTACTTACTACTGTCAGATTTTCAGGAATGTTTATTAACCATGCAGTCATAAAAATGCACATGCACAGGATTTGAAACAAAATGAAATAAAGCAAACCACACCCACACACTCACAAAAACAAAATGAAATAAAGCAAACCACACGCGCGCACGCACGCACGCACACACACACACTCACTCACTCACTCACTCACTCACTCACTCACTCACTCACTGAAAAACCCACGAGGAGTGCCACAGCCTAACAAGCTATCACCCACAGGTTTTACTTGCTGTAATCCATTAAGCCTCTCAGGTGGAAGTGGTTCTGTCTTAATGTGTTTCTAGCACAAAAGCATTTAGCTCCCCCTCTGCTGGGGGGCCCTTTCTGAGGGGTAAGACTAATAGTATTTTTCTTGTTGCTAGATGTTGTTGTTTTTGTGGGGTTTTTTTGCAACACTTTGTCTTTTCAAAGATTAATTTACAGAAAGTGCTAAAGGCCTACTGAAAATGTTTTCTAATAGCATGCCAACTCTTTGTTGAGGCGTTTCTAATCAAAATTTCTTCATATGATTTGAAAAGGAAGAGGGGGAAAAAGTAGTTAAGGCTTTTGAGGTATGATCTGGTTTGTTCTGTCAAATCTTTTCCTAGATAAAATTTGTATTTGTACTTGTACCTTTGATATTGTAGGTAATGCTTTCATGTGGTAGTACTGCTTCTGATTTTGTTTTAAAAAATCCTTTAATAAAATGTCAAAAAAATTCCCCCCCCCCCCCCCCCCAATCCTTTCTCAAACACCTTAGAAGCTTTTAGAGGTTGTTTTAAACCTAACTGACTTGCTTCACAGGGGTCTGAGTAAGCTCTTTGTGATGTGCCTCTATTTGTTCTGAGTTTCAGGCTTGAATAGCACCAAAACTAAGAACCCTGAAAACTCCCCTTAGAAATTTTTTTTGGTGTTGGCCAGAAGTATTTTAGTAGCTTAGTAGTTTTGTTTGTTTTTTTGCTTTAAACTTGTTCCTTTTGAAACCATAGGACAATGTAAGAGTGAACTTCAAAATTTCACTGGCATACAGGGCTTTAACAACAGTCAGCGTGAACTTCAGAGCGTAAAAAGGACTTACAACTGGGCTCCTAACTTCTCTCTCTTGTACAGCTTTCTGCCTGGCTAGCAGGGGTGCATGTGCTCTAGTCCTTTCTTCTTGTAAGCCACCTGCCTTCAAGGCATGTTTTGGGTCTGATAGCTCTGACTGCCTGAGAAAACTGTGTGCCATGCAATAAATGGCCAAAAGTTCTTCAGCCTACCTACTCAAATTGTTTCTAAGTAAATGTGCTATACTACTGTCCTAGAGTAAATAGAAGCTGAATATACATTCCCCTACATGTTAATAGCATGCCACAATATACAAAGTGGTTCTTCTCAAAAGCCAGGATAAAATAAAGTGCAAGGCTGTTTGCATGGCCTCTGTTTGGAATGGCTGTTTGAGATTATACAAGTAAGGTATAGCTTTTTTTTTTTAAATATATCTAGCCTGTATGCTGAGCAGTATTCAATGGAAAGGGTGTCATGTGTTTGCCTTTTGATGTCAGGACATAGGGTGGAGAACACAGCCATGCTACTTGTGGACCAGTGTTGATGGTGAATGAGAAGTGTCTCTCCTGTTTTCTGCTCTCTGCTATGCCTCCCAGGAGCATGGTTCCCGAGCATCTATCTCAAAACGCAGTTACAATTCTTTCTGTTTTACTTGCGTAACACTGAAGAGCAAGAGGACGACTTGAAAAGCACATGGTCGTGGCAGGACTGGAGTTCTGAACTACCAAACGCTAGTGCTTCTCCAGGTGATTTTGCTTGCCTAAAGCTTGTGGCTTGACCGTTCAAAGCAAGTCTCATGGTATTGTGAAACCTCTATAATGCTCCTACCTGGCTTCAGTAATTGCTAGACTGGCGTCTGAAAAAGAAGTGTCTTTGGTCAAGTCTGTAGAAGTGTTGGTCGGTAAATACGGAATAGCCTCAGCATGAGAACCAGACTTAGTTGTCCTGGTAGATTTGTGAAATGACTGTGGAAGGGAGTCAGCATGCAGCTGTCTGTATTTGTCAGTTTTTTTTTGGTGATAGGTGATAATGTAATAGAAGTCTGATTCTGATGCATGAGAAACAATTTGAACATGATTACTACAGTGCCTTTTGAAATTACACTTCATTTTAGGAATTGCTTTACCTTTGAAAACAATGGATGGATTATCTGAAAGCTGAGCGAACAAACCTCCTTGAAAATCTTTGACTGAAAACAGGGGTTTTCTTGTGTATTTTCTTACGAGGCTTCTTAAAATAGAACTCCTGGCTTGCCCTTAAAATAACTCCCCCCCCCCCCTCGTTCTTGCAGACTTCTAATTTTCTTTTGCAGCCTCCTGCCCCTCCCCTTCTTTTTTTTTTTTTTTCTCCTTTCAGGTTGGTTGAAGGAGGGGAGTAAAACTGTGTGAAAGCCAAGTAAAATCCCACTTCTCATACTTCAGCTGACTTCCATTTTAACTGTAATGGGTGCTGCCTGTCTCTACTACGTGATGGTGAAAGAGGACAATAACAAAACCCACAAGCATGCACAAGTTATTTTTGAATAATACAAATAGTTGTTTTTCTCAGTTATTTGATAGTGCTGTGTCAATTTTCTGATTAATAAAAGGAAATATTTCACCATATTGGTGTATCAGTGGCAAAATAAGGTTGTGGGCTGTGGTCTTATTTTTCCTTAGTGTTTTCACTTAAAGGCAGGCTCTTTTTCCAGTTGCATCTTTTGTTTCCCCTG